ATCTGTCGGTCTACGTACCCCAGGGGAAGCCTCCGTTAGATCCAGAATGTCGAGGTCCTCTTGGACCCTCTTTGGAACTGAAGCCGGTAGAAAAGCAGCGGTGCCGACCAAACTAGTCTTGGAATGCTTCCAGGTCACGACAGGTTATCACTGGCGTCTCCGAGACCCTGAAGGGGTCGTGAGGTTCAGCTTTTATTCTGAAGGAACCGTTGCGGCTAGTTGTAACTTGCAACAGATTTTATCCAGCTTGTCGATGTTCTTTTAGCTGAAGAGGAAGTCCGGATGGCCTGTCCGAGACTTCTCTAGAACGCTTTGAACTACAGAAAAGGTGGCGTGGAATAGTTTTTATAGTTGTCATATTTTGGTTTACTGGCGAATCAGAATTTGACATGCAAAAGAGGGTTAATACAAACACCACAGAAAACCACGCCTCGCACCAGAAACGAAGGTTCTGATTGGATCAGACAAAAGGAAATGTGTCGTGTGACTTTAGCATTACGTGTCTTTAGTGTCTAGTGCAAATGTCCAAGATTATAATAACTTGTAAAATACTACTGATCACAGGATTATAATATCAAGTAATAACATTGTCATTTCACAGATTGATTGAACATTGGGCTCACATTGTTATTGATAATAACAAAGTTGTTTATTATTTATTCATCAAAATAGTTCATCGTCTTCGCTGTAACAGAGGTGAAGCAGTTCAGATGAGCAGAGTGCATGAAAGACCTTGGCCACTATCTCATGTAGATTAGGCTGTCAGAGACTTTATATCTCTGCTCGAGCAGACGCAGCAGATCATGACCTATAGGTCAAAAACAGGGCATTCATGATGCTACAGAGGCTAACGACTCATCGGGGGTAGAGAGGAGGGGTACTCAGAGTAGTTTCTGCTCATTAAATCATGACAGACAGCTACAGCTTATAAAATTGACTCTCCCATACTCCAGTCAGAATTGTCAAAACTCCTTGAATGAGAAGCGAAATGTCTTCAAGAAACCAAAGAAGTCCAGTTCCATTTGAACCCTTCTGGATTACCATTAGGGATGGGTACCTTTGACATTTGAATCGATCCGGTACTAATTACCGGTACCTACGAATCGATACCGGTACTTAACGGTACCAATTTTCGATACTTTTGAGTGTTTATTATTTTAATTATCTTTTATAATTAAATATATATTTTTCTCAATATATAACAATATTTGATAAATATCACGATAAATAACATACAACTGTTTGTATTTTAACATTGCCCTTGTAGTTTTATAAGCTGATAATTAAACTGAAGCAAACATCTTTACTGTGAACTAAATTTACTGTGTATCTTCATTCCTTTTGCCGTCCTTTTTCATTTGATTTTTCCTACTTGGAAGTTAGAATTTCCGAGGAGAAAGCGAACGCACCATTAGCTGATATCAATGGAAGCTAACATATCAAGCTAACAATATCCTAAACAGTTTATTTAGCTGCTGGAGCAGATTAAAACGATCCCTCACACTTAGATCGTCACTGGTTTCGTATTCACCCGTCACATTTAGTAAAGTGAAGCCAAACTTTAGAGCGCGTTCATGTTGTTCTAGTCGGAAATTCGGAGTTCCGAGGAGAAAGCAAACGCACCATCAGTGAAACGGAAGCGAATATATCAAGCTAATTATATTTACCTACCGGAGCAGATTAAGATGAGGATGTCTCACTTAGATAGTTGTCGCTGGTTTCATCATTCAGTTACCTATCACGTTTTGTGAAGTGGACCCAAGCTTTAGCCTGCGTTCTCTCTATAATGCTGCTCTGTTTACAACTGGTTCACAGCAAGCGACGACAAAACGCTCCTGCGCATGCGCAGCTGTCTTGGCAAGTTCTCGTTATGATGGACGGGTACCGAAACGAGGCACCGTTTGAAATGACGTGAATTGGTGCTCGGTCGGTACTATGGAATTCGGTAGGTACCTTAAAAAGTACCGAATTCGGTACCCATCCCTAATTACCATGGCCTGGATGACTGAGAACCTTCACCAGCATGTTAAACAGGAAGACAATAACAGTCCCTTACTACTGCTACTGCAAAGCAGAATAAACATGCCCACAAACTCATATTTCTAAATGTATAGAATATGTATGTCCATCAATTAAAATATTTAAAAAATTAACAACAGCCATTATGTGTTAAAAATAGTGACAAAATAAGGAATGAAGCATTTTTGTGAACTGTTTTATGTGGCTTTGACTCGTCTGCAAATGGGCCAAGGATTTTATTGGCCTGGTTGACCACGGGGCTCACTTTGATTTGATAGTTGAATTAAGATGTTCTCTTACCTAGATGTAATGTTGGAGGACAAAACCAGGGCCCTCATTTATCAACATTCATAAAAACTGCCCTACATTACCTCCTACAACCGAAATTTAGAATGTGTGTACGAACAGTCAAAAGACTGATTTATGAAACATGTGGTGGCCTCTCGCACGCACGTTCCTCTGCAATCGTCTGATGATAAATCCCACCAGAGCTTCCCAGGTGCTCCCGTCCGTTCACCGTCATTTACATACAGAAACACCCTCAACCATATTTGGTCACACTACATACTCAGCATGTGAGGAGATTCCTGGTTTATTTCACCAAAAAATAAGAAAAACTTTATGTTTATGTATTTAGCAGACGCTTTTATCCAAAGCGACTTACAATTTACAACCTATAGCGCATGTTGTGATCTGTGGGGGAAACCGGAGTACCCGGAAGAAACCCACGCATGCATGGGGAGAACACGCAACTCCACGCAGAAAGGCCGCAGCCGAGTTTTGAACCTGCAACCTCCGTGCTGCGAAGCAACAGTGCTAACCACTGCGCCACCATGCAGCCCCACAACTTTATTGACAAGATCGAAACACTGGCTGCCAAAGCACCAAGAAAAAACAGAAAAAAATTCAAAAACCTAGCTGCAGAAGTTATAAACGCGGTCGGGACAGAGAAGAGGTTCCCGTCAGAAATAAATAAAAACTGGACTTGAGAAATCGTAGAGTAACGGGTTGTCATTTACATTTAAGGAGTTGTTCTGTTTGGAGTTAGTTTTATTTGGAAATGCTGCCTGAGAGTGTAGCCTCAGCCTGTCTCTGCTGTCATTCAGTCTGGTTGCATGTATGATCCGGGAGCAGAGGAGGTTCTGGGCGATTCTCGTAGTTGTTAAATAAAATATGAACTGGAATCAGATTTGTTAGTCTTGACTGTCGCGCCACAAAGTGTCCCAAACCACAGCACAGCAGAAGGATTTCCGATTGCACTCACAAAGAAAGCGTTCCTTCCAGTGTGCACCCTCTGTTAAATCATCAAATAACACAGATTATTCATGATATAATGTCAGATTACCATCGGTCACATGTGTCTTTTATTGGTTTTAGCACCAGTAATGTGCAAAAGCAGTTTTTCCACTGACCTAATTACATACTGGATAAATATAATTTGTGGATGAGGAACAGGCGTGGATGACTGAGACCTTAACAATTGCTGTTTCCCCGTTCTACCTCTAGATGCTGTTCCTATGCACGGTCAGAGCTCTTCTTATATTTAGGAACATTTTCACGCACAAGTACAAATTGGTAAATGCCACACAATGCGAAAAATCGTTCCCACACAAGAAATACACACAGATCTGTTTGTAAGTATGGTTGATAAATGAGGGCCCTGGTCTTTACCAAAAAATCCTTTGTTGATCTCTGACCTCAACACAAGAAAAGCAAAACTTCCACCACATCATAAAAAAGAACAAATTAGCCCTGTGATCCAACAGCTCGTAGAGCAAATGAGAAGTTCCTACAATTGTTTCTGTGCATGTTACAATCAGTTTCTCACATTCCTTCAGAGAGATTTTGTCAAACTCATCATCACATTGCTTCACTAGAGGTTTGCAGACTGTTGTTGTTATTGTTCAGGCCTGTTAAAGATGTTTTTCTTGCCGGTGGATCAAGCTACATTTTGAATTTAAACTCCCTTTCACCCTGTGAGCCAGACCTCCAAAACACAACAATGCGCATCGCTTGTTCCTGAGGGCTCAGCTTTACATTTTCGACCCTTTGTTGGCACCTGGCTTTTATGCCATAATTCCAAACATAAATGAAGTGGAATACAGGCTTCTAAAAGGATGACGGACGCCAGCGTCTTTATCATGAACATTTAATGCTCATTTCAGAACGTGAGCAACATCAAACCTTTCAACGTCTCTTTTTTCTTGTCAAGTGCAACACAGTCACCGACCGAAGAAGAGTGCATTTCCTGAAGGTTCCCTTCAAAATAAAATACTTGCATGAATACATTTTCAGTGCTAACAACAGGACAGAACATGTGAAGCAACTTCTTAAATGAAATTTGTAAACAACAAACAGTACAGAAAATGTCTGCCTGTTAAACGAGGGGTATGCACAGTGGGAGGAGAGATGGTCAGAGGGTAGTTTGACTGATGGATCGGGATCCAATCATTAAGAAGATACTTCAGTGGAGATTTTATTCTCTATTTAGTCAACTGTTGCTTAAAAACATTCATAAACCATCAAGATGTTTGTTTTGCTTCTCTGTCAGATTGACTAACCAAATTATTCTCATACACACCCTCTGAGAGCCAAGTCTCTGAGAAGCAGACAGGATACGTCTTACTGCCCAGTTTGGGTAGAAATCTGGTTTTGTACAAAATAGAGCTCCTTTCAGATAAACATCTACTTCTCTTAATCCAGTGTTTTCCTTTTTGAACTGCTGGAGTATTTTATTCAGCCAATTTCAGGAAGGCTTCAGTTGAATCTTGATGAACGTGTCTAGACTTCGTTCATTTCTTGTCAAATGTTTTAATTGAAACCTGAACAACCCAAAATTTGTGAGGTCTTTTTCACCACTCGTTCTTCTTTATTTCCACTTGCAGTAAATCTGGATTGTAGTGAGCCTGCCATTAAATTAAAGCTTCCATCAAATGTCAAAATTACAAACACATTAACAGCAAACTAATTCCAGATCTTACCCTGGCAGTCTTCTCTGCCAGCTGTAACCTCCCATCCAGTTCTCTGCGGATCTGAGCAGCTTGTTCATCCACGTTATCAAGCTGGGGAGAGGAAGAAGCAGAAAAAAGGAGAAAGCACGAAGAATCAATAAACCAATTAGGAAGAAAAGATGAAGGACAGCCAAGAAGAAATCTACCTCAGATTAATAGACTTCTCTGGTGAACCATGAGTGGCCATCAGCAAACGATTAGGCAAACCAAAGTGTGGGTGCATACTTTTGGGACAATTATAGTGCTTGCACATTAGCATCGACACGGTCGGGTTTTGGTGGGGCTGGATGGCGTGGGTTCGGTCTGGTACGGGTGGTGTAGTGTTCACATATAAATTTGAGGGACTTCTCAGGAATGCGGAAATCCCGAGCCCATGGGCGGTGTTTAGATGTTGGAAAGTCAGCTGCGTCCTCCATAAGGTAAACAAAGGCTTTTGAAGACTCTGAACCACATTATTTTATTAATTTGTTGTGTGCGTCCTCGTGATCATGTGCCACACACACACACACACACACACACGCACACACACACACACCACTCTCTTTTCCTGTTCCTAATGATCGGCAGCTCTGTGCTACAGACAAGTTTACTCAGCACCCAGCATGAAAATGAATCGCAGATGCCGGACACTACCCCCCCATTACAGGACATACAGACGCTAATATGTAAGCACTATTAGACTGAGTCAAAATGAGAACCACACAAATGGTTAGAAATTAAAACAAACAAATCAGTGATGAAAGTTAAATTTAATCACTAACCACAACTCTGAAAGTGTAAAGGATGAACTGAAGCTTCTGCTTTGAAACAAGAAAGCGCTGATAAAGTTTCTCCAGCTAATATAACTGTGCCATTTGATAAAAATAAAACTTTTAATGTTGTGGGTGACACCTGGATTACTCTATAGGGAGCCTAAGTCACTTCTGCACCATGAGTCCCCAGAAGAACGAAAAAATGAAAGCAAGTCAACGGAGCTAAAAAAGCTATTTCCTAATCCACTTTGCCTTACGCCCTGGATCACAAAAAGGTTGTACAGAATTTTAAATGAAAAGTAATGATGGGTGTTTTGACCACGCCAGTCATGTACTTTGAGATTTATCAGCTTGCAAAAGTTTGTAATTAGCATGACAACAAACTAGTAATCGGCACTTCACATATGTGACGCCACCACATACTCTCCTCTCCCTTAGCGTAGCTGCCACTTACCACATGACCAGATTCATGGTGGTTCTTTCCTTCCGTGGCAAGTTTGCCGAATTTACAGCTATTTTCCCTCAGTTTTCTCCATGTCTGGTTTGATGACGTCACTTTCGTGAAGCGCATTTGTAGTCCTGGACTTATTTTCACACAAAACCTAAAATTTTGTTTCCCCCTGTTCGAAAATAAGCTCGTTCTTGGTATCAAAATGCATCTAATGTGAAATCCATGGCACATAACAAGCGGAATTAGAAAATAGCGTTTTTAGGTCCGTTGACTTGCATTCATTTTTTTCATTCTTCCGGGGACCCATGGTGCGGAAGTAGATGGGTATGACTTAGGCTTCCTATAAACCCCTCATAGAATGTGTTTACTTTATAGACAAGACAGAGGTTCATACATCTAACAAACTAACTCATATTGATACAAACTGCAGTTTATATGATTCAAGGGAATCTTAATGTTAAGTAGTTTTTTTGAACGTGTTCTCTAGATTTTTTTTTTACTAATGAATCACATGTAAAACCAGAATTGAACAGCATGATGTGTATTAATGCTCATATCGATAGCTAAATGGACAGTAAAATAAGATAAAGACAGCAAAAAGTTCAATAATAACAAGTCTAAGACAAAAGAAGGGAACCAGGATTAGGGTGAGCTAAAAGTTTTACTCTAGACTTCTACTGCAAAGACAATTAAATGGCCCGTAACTGTAGAGTGCCATCTAGAGTCCTTGTAGTTTATGACTGAAAGTATATAGGCTGAAATTTCACGTATTTAAGCCTACCCAATTATATACCCAATTTGATAAAAACAAACACTGCAAATACTGATAACTAAAGAAACATACAGTGCAAAAATGTGTAATATAAAAATAAATAGAAAGCTGAAAAAGTTCTATATTGTAGTGAACTCCACAACTTGCTGCACAATAATTATTTAACCCCGTCCAGCGGTGCCATAGGGGAGTGTGTACAGCAGCACGATGAAACATGTCGCTCAGAGAGATGAACTATTCTTATTCATCAGGGTGAGAAATTAGAGGTGTGGCATGAGAGCGCATGAAGACAAGTCAAATGTGTGTCATAAGCTCATTGTGTGATAAAGCACTGATAAAATAAGTATCCAAGTCAGATACGGCTCACTGTGTCTTGAATTAGTTTTGCTTGTAAAACAGCTAATTTGTGAGTAAGTGAGCTCCACGGAGAAAAGGTTATGATTGGTCAGTAGACAGAACATGATCATGCGCAAACCATTCCCTTTCCTAATGTACAGATGGACCGTCCGGAGCGCAGGTGTATTTTGTCAACCTGCAAAGAATATTGACGACAAAGTTATACAGAAAGTAGCTAAGGGTAGAAATGTTGATACGCTGTTCGCTAGTTGCTTTTGAGGAAAAAAAGTCAAGAAAGGGGTCTGAAATGTTGTTAGAAAAAGTGACTAAATTGCTAAGTTGGAAACGCTGTGAGGGAGGCGTGCTTGATTTGAAAACTTGGAGTAAAGCAAGACTAAACCATGAGTGAGGAGCAAATAATCAGCTTGTTTTGTTTTTAGAATCTTTTAAAACCCAGATCTTAAAATTAGGTTAATTGAGAAGCTCCAGTCCAGACTATGCCCCCTGGTGCGTGTGGGGCCAGAAGCATGACCAGTTAATGTGAAAGAGTCCACAAGACTGGAAAATATTCTGGCAAAATGGTCAGAGAATAATCGATGTAAATGTTAGAACTATCAACAATCTGGACAGCGTCACAGTGGAGGATGAAAAGTTACTGAACTCCAAGGGGGAAAAACAGTTAGGAGAGGCGTTTCCACTCCGGGGCACCAGGGTCATTTTACCCGGGTTTTTCGGCATGCACATATCTCCACTTCGCCAGGCCAGCTGAACAGACCCTTTACTGGGCCATGTTCTAGAATCTTTGAAGTACATGAACGGGGTAGATAGCTGAACGGAACATTGGGTTAACTCTTGATGATTGGTTGTAACTCAGTAGTGACTGAGGAAATTACATCAAAAGACACCATCCAAAACAACCAATATTAGTAAAATTTCAAGAGTTGCTTGTGAAGCAGAATAGAAGCAAAAGTAAATGAGCACTTTTGCTGCTTTAAAATCAATGTTACTAAACTCCCAAAACCAAAAAAAAAAAAAAAAAGGCAAAATCCCCCCCACTGTGTAAAAATGGTTTGTCACAGTCGGGGTGAGTGAACACACCTAACACACTTTCTGAGCAATTACAGATGGGCGGAACTGGAGAGCGGCCAGCTGTCTGCCATCAAGAAGCCGGCTTCTTAAGGTGCAGGGAGACACACCTCAGCGCTGGGTGATTACTCAACCTTGGTAGTGTTACCTGAGTGTCACGAGTCTGTATTCTCGAGTATGACCAGATTGTCTTCCGAGCCTCCTTCCAAGTAACCTCACGTGTCTTCTCCGTCCTTACTGATCCCAGCCTCCACTTACAGAACCTACCATAACGCTGGACTCACGCCTGTCTCTCAACTCTCCGACCGACCCGCTCTCCTCTGCCCTCTCCAAACTCCCGGACTCTGTGGATCTCCCGAGTTTCACTCTGCTCCTGCCACTCACCTACCGACCGGACATTCCTCCTTCCCGAGTCCCGAACCTCGCTCCTAAGGAGGAATGGACTAAAGAGACTGGACAGAGTTCCAGATATTCACCTCCCCTTTTTGATGGTGCTCTTTTAGTTTACCTTAAAGGAGACATAACATGCTTTTAAGTTATTCCTTTTTACATCTAAATCCTTCAGTTGGGGTCTAAATACAGTCGAACTGCAGTTCTTTGGTCTGATTTCCTCATTATTGTTGCTCTACAGACCCTCATCTACCCCTGTTCTGAGGAGTCTTGAGAACGAGCCGTTTTTGGGTACTGTCTCTTTAAACTGGAGGAGGAGCTGTAAACTCCGCCCCCCTCCATAGTGCAGACCTGTACTCTCCTCCCCCAGTCGGACTTTGTAGTTCTATAGAGAAATCATTATTTAGCATAGCAGAAACATTATATTAGCATTTTTAAAACATGTGGGGAGAGTTGTTCATCAGGCTGTTTCAAGGCTGCTAACTCTGTCATGCATTTGTCTGTAGTCACACACACACACACACCCGTCACGGCCGACGGAGGGACAAGCGAGCAGGCGCGCGCGCACACACACACACACAAGGAATGCTGCTTGCTTATTTATTTCTATAAAAAATGTTTTAAAAAATTATACAGCTCAATAAAACACCATTAAAAACATATTTTATTAAGATCTCTATCTATCTATCTATCTATCTATCTATATATATATATATATATAAATAATTTTATAAGTAGTCTTATTTTATATTGGGTGTCTTAATGGCTGAAAATGGATAAAAAGCAGTTACATTTTAATTTAAAGATTTGAGATTCTAGTCAAAAATAAAGAACATTCCTCCAAATGTTCTTTAATGTGATCATTATAATTCTAATGCTTACAACTTTATGTTTTTATTGTCTGCAATGCGTAGCCTATATCTTTATTAAATGTGCGTTTAGCTGTAACCGTGGTAATTCTCTCTAATGTGTACACAGAGGTGGACATCAGTACTGCAGTGAAATTCCCAAGACCGGACATTCCTCCTTCCCGAGTGCCGAACCTCGCTCCTAAGAAGGAATGGACTAAAGAGACTGGACAGAGTTTCGAGATATTCACCTCGCCTTTCTGATGGTGCTCTTTTAGTTTACCTTAGAAATAATAAATTATTGTTTACTCACCGTAACCCCTGTGTTCTGTGCTGATTCTGAATGTCCTGGGTCAGACGGCTAAAACCCAACATGACATGGTGCTTCTTGCGGTTACTGAACATTACATCACACAGCTGCTCTTGTAATCTGAATGGATTAGATAATACTGTACTTTGACAGAATAAGGATCTTTAATGTTACTGTGGACGCTTCTGGCGCTGATCATTTGTTGCCATTTTCAAGTCTCCTTTATTTGGCCATAGCTGTCGGCATGACAGGCACGCCAATGAACCAATCAGAGCAGGTTTCAGGCAGTGTGATGTTTGTTTAGCTGGGATGCTCATTAGAGCCAAGGACATTTTTTATAATCCAGGCCATTTAAAATCTTGACTGTAGTTTAGCAAAAAAATAAATTGTGATATGATTTTTTTCCACCATATTACCCACCCGTAATCTGGATATTATCATATTTAAATGTAAAACTGTTACTATGGCCTGCATGTATTTAGTCATATTTTCAGTAGTTTGTACAGGCTTAATGATGGTAGTGGAGCTCCAGCTGACTTCCCTAGCTACAGTTGTTTCTGCACACACACAGAGAAGTCAGCCCACAGAGAGTTAGTCACACACGCCTGAGGAAACAATCCTGTAGGAGTCTGGATAAAGTCAGCATGGCATTCTCTAAAAGCAGCCAAGCTGAATGAGTAAAGATGTGTGTCATCAAACATGCATAAACACAAAGTTAAAATCTTGTTTGTCTGATGTGCAAAGAGTTGGTGATAGTAACTCCAACCATCTCTGTAAAACGAAACAACTAAACCCACTAGAATCTGAATGATCAGAGAAAATATATGTGTGTGTGTGTGTGTGTGTGTGTGACAGATCCACCCAAATCCTTCCAAAGTCTCACAAACACTTACTTTGTTTTTCTTCTGAGTTTTTATCCCAAAATAAATAAATACTTATTACTAAAAACAATGGGAGAACGACGACTCCAGAAGCAGTGCTAGCTGGGTAAAGAAGAACTAGTTTTGATTAAAACATCTGTTTCTGTATCTTCTGATGTAAGTGCACACGTGGACCTCTCTACTCACCTGACAGGCGTTGTACAGCAGCTGATGCTCAAACTTGCGGATCCCGAGGATCTGCTGGAACATTTCATAGAGCTGCTCTTTACTGAGGATGAGTTCTGAGACAGCACTCATATGTACCCGCTGTGGCTGACGCCGCATGTCCTCCTCGCCTCGGTAGATGATGTCGTACTTGGCCATCCAGGAGCTCAGCACAGTCTCTTTGCTCAGACCATCGATCTCCGGAAGACTGCGGACGCGACGCTCAATGTTTTTCTTAAAAACCTCTCGAAAGTCATTGGCTGAGCAGCCGCCGCTTTGGACCATTCGGGACACTCGTTCACTCCTTAGGAAACTCTGTTACGGAAAAGTAAAAAATAAAATGCCTTTTTATTCTTCTATTTACTTGTTTGATGGAAGTTTTTTAAGCAGTTACACTAAATATCCTGTTAAGAAAACCATATCAGTGCTAGAATGTGGGGACATTTCTAAAGCCCAAAGATGGAAGACTCCTGGGCCACCAACGCTTTACTGAAATAGATGAAGTGTAAGTTCTCCTGTATCAACATAACCTTTGATATACTATATAAATACGGCAGAGCCTACAGAGTAGACCAGTCTTCCGCAGGTTAGCTGCAGCTTTGTGCACAAGAACCATGTCTAATGTGCCACTGGAAATTGAGTAACACTTTAGATTTGTGAAATCTAGCAGCATGTTGGCATCTGATACGACTCCACAGTCACAATTTATCACACCTGACACCTGGACTCCTCATGGCTGAAAATCACAGGTGTCACTATGATCTGCTTGCCAGCATGCATGCTGGCAGAAGCCTCAATACAGCGGCCGTGGATGGGATCCAACCGTCCTTTTTATTTACACCCGAGATTGTCACACTCTACTAATATCTCACACATTTATCACTCTCCAGAAATAAACACAACAAACAAAAGTTTTTTTATTCAGAATTTGCTCAAATGTAGATAACATTTGTGTCAGGAACAATAATTTTAATCTCGTTTTAACCATTCAAAAACAAAACCAGGTGTAATATTATGGCCACCTTTCATAGAGCACCCTGATGTATAGACCCAGTCACAATCCTTAAGGAAGATCATTTTAGTGTCTGATGTGTCTATTTTCAGTTTGCACATCTCAACACAAACGAGTGCTAACTGCTTCAAACTGTTTACACTTCTGCAGATTGGAAATTCAGGTGCATCAGCAGCAAGTTCACAGTTAAATGCAAGTATGCATAATCTTACATTGAAAACATTGAAATGAAACATAAGAATTAAAACTGAAATGCAGGGATAATGCAGGGACTCATGCATTAGAAACATCAACAGAGAAAAATAACGGTTCCATTAACAGCAGGAGTGCTGCCTTCTTGAATAAAGATGTCTGAAACTGAAGGAGCTGTCCAGCTCCATGCCAGTTTCATTTATTAGCAAGGACAGAGCTGGTCTTCGTCAACGTATCTAATCTCAGTCTCTCAGCAACAGATAAGCTGCTGCACCAACACACCACCACTAAAATAAGGCTGATACCCCCTCAGAGCCAAAGAAGGTCTTTAGGAGCACCTCCTGCACTCCAAAGGAGCTCTGTCTCCTCAACAGGTAGTCTGCTCTGGCCCTTTCTCAGAGGCTTCAGATTGGTGTTCAGGTGAACACTTACAGGAGTCCACTACCTCAGTGCCTGTTCCCTGAATGTTCACCAGTACCCGTACAAGGAAATCCACCACCAGCTAGTTGGTTTTCCCTGCATTGAGCAAAGGTGGCTCTGCTGACACCAGTTCACCAAATCCAGTGTCCACTGTCCATCCTCTGAGTCGTTCTCACCCGTGATGATGCCGGCCATGGTGAGCATCTGTAGACCGCAGCCTGAACAGTCGATGCCTGCTGTCCCCGTACAGCAGACCCACTTGTCAGAAACCTACTGCAGGTATAGTCCAGAACCCACTGCAACGGAGGGTAGTACTGCTGATACCTCCAGCTTGTCCCGATGGGTCAGAGCTCCGTGTAGGAAGCAATTATAAAAGTAAATCTAAATGTAATTCTGGGTTGTTCAGCTGTACATCATAGAAGACTCAAACCAGAGGAGTAAGACATTCTCAATGACCAAATTCAGTTTTCCGGTCTTTCTTTAAATTCCTATTATTTTTAACTGACAACATTGAGATTTATTCATCATGAAGAAACAGATTGTTGTATTTAAAGAATAAAACGTGATTGTAAATAGTGAATTACAGAATTAAAAAGGCTGAATATTATAAATATAGTAAAATTCAAACACAACCACATGTTCGATCTACTAAACAGGCAAATTTCAGGCATGAGTGAATTAAAATATTTATTATTTAAATAGTTTTATTTCAATTACTAGCTGTTCACTTTATTCACAGGATTAAATGTGCTTAAAACAGAAAGAATAATCCACCCCTTAGGCTCTATTAAGAGCCTCACTACCAACCTGTACCTACATTTTCCTGTGGTAGGCTATTTTAAAGATTCATATTTTATATCATCACTTAAAGCTGAAGGATGAATCATCTATAATTCACACTGCTGGTTTACTAAGAACACACTTCCTGTGTCAGTCTGCTGCCTCTGCATGATAGTATAGCAAACACGCTTCAGTTATTCTGAAAGGTGAGATTTGAATGATCCAAAAGAACATTTCCAAGCTCTGCAGTAAAACACTAGCATGGTCCCCAAAAACCTGCTAAAAGAGCGATAAAGGAGCAGCTGTATCTCCTGCTTCCAGCTGAGGACTGCAGGTGGCTGATACCATGGAAACAAGAAACATACAACTGCCATTAAGTTCTGGAGCGCCACATGAAGCAACAGTGGGTTGGCGGTGAGAGCCCATTGTTTTTGGTACACTTGAAATGTTCATTTTCCCAAATGATTTTAGTCACAAGTTGTTTCTTTACATGTAAGCCCGACATTTCCCTCTGTGAATGTAACACTAGGTTACGGTGCGTGTTAATAAATGACAATGATGGAAAACGTTGGAGGGTATAAATGTATGGTAAACATGTATGTATGAAGGTAGGATTTTAAAGCATCTGATGAAATAAACAGTGATGCTTATTACTATAATACTTTATATCCATCCACCCATTTTCATCCGCTTATCCGGAGTCGGGTCGCAGGGGCAGTAGCCTAAGGCGAGAGGCCCAGACTTCCCTCTCCCCAGCCACTTGGGCCAGCTTCTCCGGGGGAATCCCAAGGTGTTCCCTGGCCAGGTGAGAGACTTATGGGCCATTCCCATCTGTACCAGGTCGACCCGGGCCGGGTAGCGTAGGTTGTTTACATATCTGGGTGGCCTGGTATTTTTCCGGGCCAACCAAGGCTCATTCTCAGCCCTCTTCTCAAGGGGTCTGCTTCAGGCTGACCAGGGCCAACACACCCACTGCTGACAGCAAATTCACACCTTCCATTAGAGCAAGCCTCTGATTGGTGGGTAGAATCAGCCCACATGGGTTTAAGACAAGGATGTGTGGAATCAACCGGGCCAGGCTGGGGCCGACTGGGGCTACCCGGCCCGGGCCGACCCGATACAGATGGGAATGGCCCAATAGTCCCTCCACTGTGTCCTGGGTCTACCTTTAGGTCTCCTCCTGGTTGGACGTGCCCGGGAAACCTCACCAGGGAGGTGTCCAGGAGGCATCCTGACCAGATGCCCGAGCCACCTCAACTGGCTCCTCTCGATGTGGAGGAGCAGCGGGTCTACTCCAAGCCCCTCCCGAATGACCGAGCTTCTCACCCTATCTCTAAGGGAGAGCCCAGCCACTCTTTGGGGAAAACTCATTTCAGCCACTTGTATCCGCGATCTCGTTCTTTTGGTCACTACCCAAAGCTCATGACCATAGGTGAGGGTAGGAACGTAGATCGACTGGTAAATCGAGAGCTTCACCTCCTGACTCAGCTCTCTCTTCACCACGACAGGCCGGTACAACGCCTGCATCACTGCAGATGCAGCACTAATCCGCCTATCGATCTCACGCTCCAGTTTTCCCTCACTTGTGAACAAGACCCCGAGATACTTAAACTCCTCCACTTGGGGCAGGACCTCATCCCTGACCCGGAGAAGGCATTCTACCCTTTTCCGAATCAAGACCATGGTCTCAGATTTAGAGGAGCTGATTCTCATCCCAGCTGCTTCACACTCGGCTGCAAACCGCTCCAGCGAAAGCTGAAGATCACGTTCTGATGAAGCCAACAGGATCACATCATCTGCAAAAAGCAGAGACCCGATCCTCAGGCCACCAAAATGGATGCCCTCCACACCTTGGCTGCACCTAGAAATCCAGTCCATAAATGTTATGAACAGAATCGGTGACAAAGGGCAGCCTTGATTAAAAATGTCTTTACTACTGATTGTATAATGCAGAGGTGTCAAACTCAAACTCACACGGGGCCGAAATGAAAATCTGGGACGGAGTCGAGGGCCAAACTTAATATTTTTGAAAAAGTGACGGCAAATTTGCACATTTTCTTTATCAACATTTATGCAATTTTGAACCTTTTAATTTGGAAACAAACATATTTCTGCATTAACAGTGAATGTGGAATAACCAAATTACACACGAGCAAGTCAGTTTTAAATAAAAGGCATCAGTGGTATTCATTACTTGTGGTATAATCAGCATTTTATAAATCTATTCAGGATTTATGTTTTCTTGTCTATTCATGTTTCTTATTTTTTATTCTCCTTTTTTTCTCCTGTAATAAGTGTCATCGCTGCTGTGACGTCTAGCTTTCCCCACTGAGGAACAATAAAGGGATTTTCTATTCTATTCATCTATCTGCAGCCTTTCCACTTCCTTTTTTACTGTAGGTTAAATCTTTTCTCACGGGCCAACAACAAAATAAAAATATAATTTTATCTTAAATGAAAATGCAACATCTCACCTGTTAACTTTCATGTTTTGGAGCAGAAAACCAACATATTTAAAGCTCAGTTTGCTCCACTGGTTTACTGTGATGCTCACCTGTTCCAGCCAGATACCTGCATCATGGGGTTGATCTGAGCTGAGGAGGAGAATCCTGTTGTTTTGTTCATCTTCATCATAATAATGACAACATTAGATGACAACAGGTGCTCACATAGGTTTGTGCTGCTGAACATGTCTGAGCAGCTTGACCACGTTGTTGTGTGTCGGGGAGGAAACACAACCACAGCAACCACAGAGCCATGCTGATATGAGCGTGTCGCTGCTCGCTGGAGTTATATCAGCTCTGTCTGGACGTTAGTTGGAAAACTTTCTCTTTCAGTCGTGATCACATTACTGAGCGGCTAGAATCTCCATTTCTGGGCTTCAACGTCAGAAAATAGCGGAGTGAACTCG